TCACCAGAACAGAAACTAATCATTCACATACACTCGTACACTGATGCCCAGCATCAGGAGCAATTTGGGGTTCAGTGTCTTGCTCAAGGACAAAAATCTACAAAATACATTTTCTCTTCCATTTTCTTTATGCAATTATAGAATCCTTATTTTATGTCTGAGGTATAAACTGTGCAAAACTGTATTTATCACAGTTCCTGGAACGTATTCAATAACATTGAAATCACAATATGGCCATGTGATACATCAGAGAACCTGCAATTTTTTGACAAAGGTAAAATGTGTGACAAGTAATGAAATATTGTAGTTCTGAAGAGATATCCTGGCCTGGTTCTCCAGGATTTAGGAAAAACACACACAACACAAATTGAACCACTGCCACAAATCTCTGTATGTAAACTGTGTTTTTGAGTCGATCGATACAGTATCACAAAACAGTAGTGCAATACAGAAGTATATCTATATGTTCTTACACCCCCTAGTATGAGCACAGTTCCCCAATTTTTGAATGAACAGTGCTTGGACGTGTCATATGTCAGATATCGTGTCATATGTATCATATCAGCGAGGATTTTAAATGCTGCTGTCTGTACTCACAGCGGGTAGACAGCCTCCTGGGTGCAGTGTAACGTGTTGACATAGTCTGGACTGGGGTTGTACAGCATGGTGTACCAGTCCGACAGCATCTGGACTCGGCAGGAAAGGATGCTGAGCTTTCCCACCGGCTCTGTGACCAGCAGGGTGACCACAGCTGACACACTGCACTCCAACATGGCTGTGATGTGCTGCAACAGAGCGCTGGAGCTGAACACACAACACCAGATCAGACAGCAGATACACAAGAACTGAATTTCTGCATCATGTCCCATCCAAACACACTGACCACAAAGCAACACATCTCAAATATAAAACATTACAGCGGAAAATAAACAACACCAATGCCAAAAATAAAGCACATTCAGAGTTGGCAGGATGTTGTAGAGCAGCAGTAAGGTCAGACACGGACCCTGTTGGACCTGACATCAAAGTACAGGTACACTCAAACACACTGTCTGATTTCCAGTTGCGTCACTGTAATATTAGTACAATTATATGTTTGCTGTTGTTGTTCTGTTTCCTGCCGTGTAAGCAGCAGATGTTTGTGAATACTGCATATTCCAACTTATTTCACCATTCAACTAGTAATCCCAATATCCCCCGACTCCCTTAAAAAACATTTGGAGAGTTGCTGAGTGAGAAACTTTATCAACTTTGTGAAACTGTAAATTCTTAATTATTTGGGTTTTCCTTAAATTAGGCAAAGGTTATACATTAATGTATTACTAGCCCCAATCAAGTTGTTTTAGCCACCGACCTGACCCAACATTATTACCGAGTATACAGATCATACAGTGCGCAGGGCACATTTCAAGTACATTAAAGTTATTACAATCAATCCAATGCTACAACAAATAGCTCTGCACTGCATCAGGGAAAATGCCTGCATCTGCAAGCTGTTCCTTAATGGGTTTTTTAATTCACCCAATAAAGTATAAAATAACAAACCCTCTGTAATCTTTTAGTCTTGTTGCTGTCTGGAGGGAGTGTCTCTCTGCTTTGGTGGTTTAGCTGAATTCTAATAGTCTGTATTCTGCTGACTGTTGATTTCATTCGGTTCTACATCTTTTGCCCAGATTACAGTTATTAATGACTCTTACTGGTTCGCAGGGGCTTTTGTTGCACCTGCAGTGGTGTGTTGAGTGTGGTCGTGTCAGATCTCTACATCTGTCTCTCCTCCGAGCGGATGTGAAAGCATCAGAATTCTACACAGTCAGAGAAAGCTACAGCGATCGCCCTGCTAATATAGTTCAGTTTCAGTTCAAGAAGTATTTTCTGCAGGGCTGCTGACAGTGCACGTAACACATGAGAGATCAGGCTGACACAGGCGTTTAGGCTACATTCACACTGCAAACCTTAACACTCAATTCTGATGTATTGCTCAGATCTGATTATTTTTGTTTGGCATATAGAGCGGAGAAGTGAGATCTGATCACAAGTAATGACTGGTGACTCATGTGGAGATGCATTTTAATGCCAGACGTGAACTGCTGTGCTTACAGCTGTCCACGTGTGATCAGATCACCAATGTTAATACTAGGGATGGGCGATATGTTATCGTTTACGATATATCGTCAAAAACATTCCCCACGGTAAGAATATGTCATCCCACGATAAAAACGATAAATTCCCATTGATGACGTATGTAAGTGCGCGACACACTCGCAGCCCAACACGTGTGGAATATTGACAACAATGGCGGAAGGCGGAGCAGATACGCCGGGCAGCGAGGAGCTCGTTCCTAAACGGGGCTCCAGCTCCGTTATCTGGAACTGGTTTGGTTTTAAAAAGTCTGACGCGGAGCAGCAATTTACCAAGGATGCAGAAGCAGCGCTCACATATTTTTTCCATCAGTCGTCACTGATTGGATTTCATTTTCAGTGAACTTTTATTTGTCTTGTTCCTTAATTTATCAGATTGTATTTGCAGTTGCACTACTTTGTGATTTTTATAAGCTAAGTTATTTTTGCTGTTTTTTTAAAAAGTTTTAATACATTTTTAAT